CCTCCCTCCCTCTCTCCCTCCCTCCCTGTGATGTGCAGCTTTGGCTCCTGCAGAGGAGCTGTAAGTTGGTCCCAGTACATGGGGGTAGAAATGCAGAAATAGAACCTTGACAGAGGTTACCTTTTACCCTGTCTGATGCAAAAAAACTTAAGGCCTTGGAAAAAGGTATACAGCACTTCCACTTGCCTCTCTTCTTCAAAGAAACAATGCCCTGTGAATTTCATGTTTCACATTTAGAGATAAAATAACTTGGAGTAATGTCTAAGATGTTAATTGTTCTTTCAGTTGGATCCTTTGGACTGCTTTCTGTTTTCTAATCAAAGTTTCAAGTGGGGTTGTTTTATTTCCAGTTCAGAATATCATGGAGAAATGGGAAGTGTAAATAATACTTACCTCCTACATAGTGAATACTGTCACCATTCCAGCTTTCTGGCAGTTTAGAGCCTGCCTGTGTTTGAGGGAATAATAATTCTTTTTGCAAATAAGGGTGGAGGGAGAGCTAGTGACCTGTTCAGAGGGTTAGAGTTTGTGGGTGATCAGACTGTGGTCTCAACCCAGGTGAGATCTCGCTTTGGCTGAGCAGTGGAGTGTGCTTACCAAAGCTGCTGAGAAGCTTGTAATGACACCTTTGATGCTGAAGAAAATCCAGCTGTTTACTCAGAGAGAGAGGCATTCCTTTCTGTTCCTGTAGATCTGTTTGGTTGGTGCTGCTCAGTGTCCAGCTGTGGCAATGCTGAGCTGGCATTTCTGTGTCAAATGGTTCTTCTGACTGGGCTTCTTTTCAACAGCGGCCTCCGGCACCTTGTCTGTTGTTATGGGAATGAGGTTTTACAACTCCAAAAAGGCAATGCCCGGGATAATTGCCGGTGCCAGGTAACCACCTGTCCTTTGTTCTTGTCTGTGTTATTGAATAAACAATTACTTAACTTATTTGTGGATTATATTGTTTTAAAAATGTTACATGGCAAGTTCTGTGGAAAACGAAATCTTGTGGTGGCGTTCAGCTAAATGAAATGATGTTAAAGTTTTCTTCCTTCTTGTTCTTTATGGGATTTTTGCCTCCACCTCCCTCTTTTTATAACAACTATTCTGTTCCACAGTTTACTGATGGTTGGACGGCTTGGATTGCAGATGATGGAAAAAACCTATTAAGTCATAAATCTGCATCAAGTGACTTGAAGACACATGACTGAGAAGCCCAAGAATGCAACTGCTGAAATGTGCTGCACATAAGTGGAAAAGACACTGCTACCTGTGCATTGTATTTTTCATATCCTAATGCACACAGGTTGTGTTTTTAAAGGACCGACATAGAGAGCCCTTGTATTTGTCTTAACATTTTCTGCACTGAAAGCAAGCAAGAAAATAGAGTACAGCATTAGTTTAGCTTCTGGTCCTGCAGCTTACTGTCAGCAAAGACCTGCTGGCCTTTGCATTCAGATAGTTGCAGGATTGAAGCTTAATTGCACATCTAACTTGTCCTTCTGAAATCCTGTATACCTCTAAAACCAGGGGAGAGGAGTTGCAATTTGTCACTAATTAATTAATTAAACTGAGTAATTAATGCAATAAACGTGCTTATGATGTTCCATCTCCCTTTCCATGGCAGTTTATCCATTCACAGTGTTTGTCAGTCAGGGAGTTTGTTCTCCCAGCACTGCGTGTTGGAACCTGGTCCCACAAAACACAATCACAGAGCCAGCTGTCAAGGCTCTGCTGTAATGCAATAAATGCATACCCATGCCTTGCAATCACCTGTAAGCTCAGCTATATGTCATTCATTTCACTTTTACAGATTACTACTCATAAATCAAAAATATGCTTTATTAGGTAATGCTGAATTGTAGGCACAGCTTTATTAAAATGTTATTTTAAATAAAGTAATAAATTATTATTGCAAACTTTTGTGTTCTGCACAGCTTATTTTGTCTCAAATTGTTCATCTGGATTGATATAGTTTGGTGCTTTTCCTGCAGGGTGTCAGGATCTATTTGTTAACATGAATTGTGTAAATAATCTATTCTATTCCTGAATCTAGTAACTTGTAAATATAAAAATCTGAACTGGGAGGGAGGTGGAGAGCACGAAAGCATACAGACCATATATTCAGACAAGTATTATATTGAAGTTTTTTAGTTTGGGGTCTTTTATTTGTATGGGTTTTTTTGGTTGGTTGTTGTTTTGTTTTGTTTTTTTCCTGAGGGCATAATTTATTTCAGATTTAGAAAATACTGTATGAAAGTGTATTTAAAGACCAAAAGGCTTATTTGAGTAGTCTTTGTCCTCAGCTGATTCCCTTAATGCCTGAAATCATTCTAAATATAAACCTTTAATAGAGAAATATCCTGGAAGATAGACATGGAAGGTAAGGTATCCTTTTTCTGGCCTCATTTAACTTATGTCCTTTTTTGTTCAGATCCTGAGCTTTGACTTCTTCAGCCTTTTTTCTTTGGTGCCTGGTGCTGAGACAGATGGAAGCAAGAGGGCTGGTCCATTAGATTGCTGAGATTCTGGAGTTGCTCAGAACTCTCTGAGTATCAGGGTGGTGTCCCTTGGCAGGAGGGTCACAGCCTGTGGTTTTCCTTCCCTGCTCCCTTGTCACAGCAGAACAGGCAGGGCAGTGACCTTGTGCTGCGTGAGCAGGAGGCGGCCCAGTGGCCACAGCCAGCAGGGCAGTGGTTTGCCAGGCAAGTCGCAGGGATGAGGCAGGGCTGAGGTCAAGCCGGGATGCCAGGTCAGTCAGATTGGGTTCCGGATCTGCAGGGATATGGCCAGGAACGGGTGCAGCTCCAGCAAGAGTCTCAGCACCTGGTCCCAGGCCAGACAGCTTGGGTCAGAGCTGGCTTGAGCACAGACAGATCTGGATGGAGAACTGTGCTCAGAGCATCTTCTTAAGAGTCCTTATTCATCACTCTGCAGAGTTCAGCTTCAGGTGTTCACCTGTATTTACATTTCTCTCCTACCTTCCAGTATAGAAATAAGGGCTGTGCAGGCCAGCAGATGGTTTGTTAATATGTCACCCTTCTAAGTGCCTAATTCCAGCCCAGGACCCACCATTGGTGGGCAGGTGTCTGCACATCTTCGTTCTAATTTGAAGAAGTTAGTAAGCCTGATATTAGCATTTAAGACATTTCTCTTTAAACTGCGTTATGGGGGGTGGGGGTTGCCTCTTGATATTACTGTTGTAATATCAGAAGCAGTTTTCTTCTCTAGGAGTAAAATGCAAACATAAATGCATCTCCTGCAATAAACTGAGAACAGCCAGCAGTTTTGTAATTGTATAATGCTGGCCTCAAATCAGGCAGCTTGTGAATTTGAATTGCAGTTGTCATTAACAGTCTAAAGACAACAGAAAGCAGAAAACTGGACTGGTAAGATTTTAAACGTTTAGATCAAAATATGAACCTGTGGTGCTGTTGCCTGAGCTTTGGAAAGCAACAGGTTGAACTGAGAACTGCTGGTAGAAGTCACTTAGAACTTGTGGTAGAATGCTCATGCTCAGGATAAACAGCAGTAATACAGGCAAAGGGACAAGAGAAAAATCTTAGCCTTACATGCTTTTTATCCCTTTTCAATTTTATTAGCATACAATAACTTTTTTAAGCATTTCTGTACTAGCAGTCTATTGTGTACCAATGAATCAGAATTAAATGACTTTACAAAGCCTGTTAGCCTTTTCTTGCTGTTTGCAACAAGAATTATCCAACATTTGTCATGCTTTGCTTGTGGACAAGTAAAGGCTGGTCTGGTTATGTTAAAGCCCTTTCAAGGTTCATTAGCATGTGACAAGGACAGCATGTTTCTTCTAACCATATTTAGTGCCATAAAGAGTTTATAAATAATAAATAAAAGGTACCTGTTTATTTTTCTGCTCTAAGGTAACTCACAGACATGAGCTATTGGCACATTGTTAGTTAATTTCTTGACCAGGCTGTGATTTTAACTGTCATTGGCATCTTGTACTAGAGACGAGTGATTAATTTATTTTGGTTTTAAATATAAAATCATAGCTCTTATGCCTGTTACAAACTGAGGGTGTCCTTCACTACTATAGCAAGTTACAGATATGTTCTACAGTTAAATTAAGATGCACTTAAGTAGCAGAGGGACATCTCTTAGTACTAAGGGAATGACAAATATTTAATCCTAGGACAGTGGCAATTGAATTAAACTCTTTAGTGCATTACTAACCAGACAGCTGTATCCTTGCATAGTTCTTACAGTATTAAAAAAAAAGTGGTGTTTTCTTCAGGTGCAATTTTCCTAACAAATTATTTGACTTTTTGCTACAACTGTTTTAAATTGCTTTTCAGGAAGTTAACCCATATATTATGACACACTGGGTCAACAACAGGAGTTTAAATTAAAATATCTATTTATAAAAGCCATACAAATAATTTTTATTTTTTTTTACAATGCTTGAAGTCATCATTAACAACTTTACATCGTCAAAGATCATACTCAGTTTGTACTTTAAAATGGCAAGTTTAATGTTACTATAAAGTCTAAAGCATTTATTCTAAATGCTGTTGTTAACAGAAGTAGCTCAGCTCAACATCCTAATAAACGCTTATTGCAAACATACATTGCAAAGTCCTTTGAGCAATATTATTATAAAAATTAGCATAAAAGCTGGGGAAAGTATTGAATGAATATATAAACAGTGACATAGTGAATTATTCAAGTTTTGTCTGTGTTTTCAGGTAACGAAGTTGGCCTTTAATATCTAAAACAGAAAGCAATATTTTTGAATAACAGACCAATATTCTTCCTCATGTAGCCTATTCAAACTCTGTAGTTTAGTCTGATCACCCAATAAAGACACATAGGAACAAGAGTGTGAGTAAATTTAGTAATAATTTAGGCATTTTTGGCTAACTCACCCTTAAAATGAATGACAGACTGCAGTGATTTAGGCTATTTAAAAGGTCACTGTGACAATCCCTTGACAGGAAAGAGATAAATTTCTGCAGATCTTTGACCAAAAATGGCAACAAGTTAATTAAAACAGCAGAATCTGATTGTTAGGCTTTACTTCACAGCCTGGTAAGTAGTATTCAGTACTTGTTTAGCTATTTTCCAATATTGCTGTATCATTCTACAGCCCTCTATTGGCCAGATTTCTAGGCCTTCCTTGTGTAGTATCGATCAGTGGATTGCCTGCATCCGACCACAAGGGTTTCAGTTCTCATTGTTACATGAATATTTGCACCTTACAGACCCTGAGTAACTCTTAGTTACAAGTGAGTTCTGCAGTCCTTGCAGGAGACTGATGTTCTTCACAAAGCCAGATCTGTGCTTTCACTCTCATCTCCCTGCTAAGGAAGCAGCCTGACACCTGGAAGCCTGGTGCTGCTCTGCTTCAGCCCTTCTTCTTCATGCTGCTTGTGTGCTTCAAGCACAACCCAGCAGCAGATGTTGCACTGGATGAACAACCCTAACCCTAGTTGTTCCAAAGAGTGCAAGAACAGGAGATCTATCTACAGAAAACATCAGGTGAAATCTACTTCTCAGTTTTGGCAATATGTGTTGTACAATACTTCATTGCATCCTGCTTTACAGCCAGTATTTTACATGGTACTATATGTAACTATACAGGAAATAGAATACAGTCTCATTTTTCTTCTCTACTATTGCATAGTCTTAGGAAAAGCTGGAGCAAATAGGCTTTTCAGGTTTCCAAGTGCAGGAGAACTGAAGACAGAGCATGTAATATCCACACAGGGTGGTATTTTCTATCTGTTCCCTCCATATTTGGCCACCCAGTCTGTTCTCCCATGTACTCGCTGAATTGCTGGGGGGCGAGTTAAGATATTCATGTTTTTTGCTGCTGCATTGAAAGTAGGACCTGGTAATGGAGGACGAGCAGCTTTGTTTTTCCAGGAATAATCTGAAAGGAACAAGAACTCAGAATTAATTATCACTAACAAGGTACTTTACTCCTCTACAGAGAAAAGAATATGAGAGCTTACAGATGACATGGTACTCAAGGACGCTAATGTAGCAGGATGTGCTTTGGTCTCCCATAGGTCATAAAACACCCTGAGTTGGAAGGGACCCACAAGGACTGTAGAGTCCAACTCCTGCTCCACACAGGACAGCCCCAAGAATCACACCATGTACCTGAGACCATGCTGTCTGTGTTTTCAGATAACATTGTTTTTTTCCAATAGTTTGTGTATTATTCTCACCTACTGAATAGTTTTGCAGCAATCCCTCAAGAAAACACCGAGAATTAGATTCAGTGGAAAAACTGGTGCAAATGCCTACAACTCTGTATCTCCTATCACAAAACTGCTACAGTATGAAAGTGTTCTTTCTTCTATCTCAAATATTGAAAAAAACATGACATTATAACATTGATAAACTAAGATTCAGACAGCTTAGACTGAAAGACAGCTTCTGAAGACGCCCTCTTGTTCCTTTTGATATTTTTATGCCTTTTATTCCTCTCTTGCTTAGCTCAGAACTCCTGCTGTAATTGGTGGCAAGTCTTTGCTCCATTTCCCATTTTTCCATTGATTTAATAGGATTTATTCCAAGTTTGAAGGCTTTTTTTCTCTCTTAATATTGGCACCCACCTGATCTCAGGCACTAGCAGTAGTGCACTATTGTATTCCTGGCCTTCCTATTCAGATTTCCCCTTCTGACATTTCAGGTAGTTGTTACTTTCCTTAAACAAAATTAAACATTTAAATTGAGTGGGTTTTTTGGTGCCTAGGTATCATTCTGTTTCTTGCAGAAAATCACCTGGTTTTGGTAGCGTTTTTCAGCGGTGGATTGAACTTGTGCAGATCAAGACATTTAAAAGGGGGGAACATCAAGGAGCTGAAACTGGGGATCAGGTCTCCACCTCCTTTATAGGCTGGCATTCCCTATCTTTCATCAGCAAGTATGATTC